ATCATGCAAGGTGCTACAGCACCCGATACGTCATCTGACAAGGACCGATTAACACTGATTCAGTACTTTATTATTTTATTATGGATCAAAGAGAAAACAACAACACAAATTGGGGAGGCTGTTCATAAGGCTGTGGTCTGTTGGGGTGCAGGCAGCTCTGATCGAGACAGGAAGAGACTGAACAAGCTAGTTCACAAAGCTAGCTCGGTTCTGCGCTGTCCACTGGATTCTGTTGAGGAGGCGTGTGAAAGGAGGATGCTGGTGAAGATGACCTCCATCTTAAAAAACCCTCCTACACACTGGATTCCACTGTGGAGACCATGGACAGCTCCTTCAGAGGTAGACTGAGACATCCCAGATGTAAAACAGAAAGCTACCGTAGGTCATTCATCCCCTCTGCACAGGGCTGGACTGGGACAAAAATTCAGCCCGGGCATTTTGACTGGAGACCGGCCCATCACCTGTTTTTTTTGGGAAAAGACATTAAGCCTTACGCTGTTTCTGACACACACACACACACCAATGTACACTTTCTTGTTGGTAATATTTATGCATCAATCTAATAAACTAAAACCTACACCATCCTTCCTGTCCTGGTATTCTAAAAAGTACTTAGTAAAAAAGAAAAAAGACCACTTGATTAAGGTAACACCCCAAACAATATCTAACACTTGGTAGAAGCCTGACATTAAAACAGAGAACTATTAATCAATAATGAATATTAATATAAAAAAAGACATTTATGGAAATTTTCATAAACTGTTTTATCACCACACCAACTAGGAAATATTTTTACAATACATTTAAAAAAGAAAGGAGACAGAGAAAGGTGAGATAAAATAACTTAATTGACCATTTGAGGTCTTTTTAGAGATCGTACTGGTGCAGTATCTAGAAAATGTGGGGAAAATGCTGACATCATATACAGTATTTACTTCTGTAACTATTTGTTAATATGTTAATTCGAGTTGCAGTATTTATAGCTATCCTGTTAGGGTGTGTAATTGTTGGACGAAATATTTAACAAAACACATAATTAATAAATTATTTGTGTATGATTGTGTGCATTTAGAATATCTATATTAAAGTCCCCACAAACACTAACTTATGATTATTTGTATTTAATTCTACTGTACATTTCTGAAAATTAGTTCTGAAAAATAATTAATTATGAAATATTTTGTTTACAAATGAAATTCTTACCTTCTTAACTAAATATTTAACTTTAAGTAAATATTTATCATCCAAAATAAATACTTAACTTTTTAACTAAATACTTTGATTGCAAACTAAATATTTACCTTCTTAAATATATATTTAGCATCCAAACAAAATATTTAACTAATTAACAATTTTGTTTACAAACCAAATATGTATCTTCTTACCAAAATATTTCACTTTTAGCTAAATATTTCACTTGCAAACTGAGTATACATGTTTTTATAAATGTTAAATGTTTTACCAAATAGTTTGAAGTTGAAACATTTCTTAATGAATAAACAATGACTTTGAAATATTAATTCCCTTTTAATTTCTCATATGACAGGCTAAATAACCAACATTATTGTTAATTTTAACTGTAACTTTACAAAAAACATCTCATGGAGGACAATATAAATAGAACTTTGAAGTTCTATTTATGTCCAATTTAAAGTCAAATCAAATTAGTGTTTATTTGAATAGTCGTAAATCACATCATTGGGAGAAGATTTTCACAATGATTTCATTTTAAGTAGTACTGCTAAAATGCAGAGACATTTATTACTATTTTACTAGTCTATTAATAGTTTTTTCAATACTTTCTGCATAACCGGCCCTTTAAGAGCATTCATGATCTTTATGTGGCCAAAACTGAAAATGAATTTGACATCCCTAATTTAAGTTCTACACATTTAAAATGAAAATAAGAAATAAAAGTATTTCTGTCTCCCCCCTCTGCCTTATACCTGCCCCCAGGCAAAGCTGTTAGAGCCTCCCCTGCACAGTCACCAGCCTTCTATCAGCTACGTAAAAAAGAATCCTGGTGACAATTGTTCATAACTTTTCTTCGAGTCATTCATGTAATCTAAAATGTAAACAGTTTCTCCATTAACTGTTCAGCTGCTCGGATGATTGAGTCTGGACATCTCCTATTTCTTCTCGATGTTTCTCTCTCATCAGATGCAAACTGACACCATGACCAGCAGCTTTTACAGCAAACATCGGCTAATAAACGGATCCGCTGATGATCAAATGCACCTGAGTTTAGATGTCACCCGCCTTTATTGCCAATAAAACAAAAAGAAAAAAATGGTGGGGATCAAGGAGACGGCCGGCCGAGCAGCATAAACAAAGACACCACAGCGTTGTCTCTTTTTTTTTTTTGTTTCAGTCTAGCTAAACTACAGGACTAATCACGTTCTGTTTCAACTCATACGGACAATTCGGTTGTTTTACGGGAAGGTTGGCAACCCTAAAAGTTAACTGTCAATAACATCATAGCACCCGGCCAACAGTAGAAACTCCGTATAATAAACAGTAAGATGAGTTATTGTAACTGACTTTAAAAAGTTAGCAAGCAGGACGATGAAAATAAACTACACCTGAACTTGGTTTATATTTGACCCAGATAACTTCTTACCTGAAATTCGGTTCTGCCACTTGGACAGGCAGCCGGCTCGGGTTTCTCCTCCTCCTCCCTCTTTTCTTCTCCAACCTGTCGCTGGGCTGAGGCTCCATCACTTCCTAAATTGATTTTACTTGAACCTTCACTACCAAACAACTGTGAGATTTTAACACATGTGCCAGCATCTGTCTGAAGGGCCAGTTTCTTTTTTTTAGTCGAATTTTCTCCGTTCCTCCTTTCCGTTTTTTGTTCTCCATTTTGTTAAGCTCGTCTGTCTGTTTACTGAGACTCATACAACTGGCGGGTGCATCAGACCTCTGGCTATTGATCCAGCCCAGAGTGTATTATGACCAATTGGCCAATCCACCAACTTTTACGAGGCGTTGCGTGGCGCGGTGGTGTCCGCAACAACTAGAGGCCAGAAGAAAGAAAAAAAACAGACACCATGCTTTCGTTCTTTTTTAAACACAGAAACAGTTTTGTTTACCTGTTTGTAGCTACAGTTTCGCCGACGGCTGCCGGCTTCTTCAGGCTGACGCTGATGGTGGCGCGTCACTTCCTTCTCCGTTTATCTGCGGGCAGCAGAGGACGTTGTCGCCCTCTACTGCTCGCTCTCCCCTCTCCGACGATGCAGTCCCATGCGTGGTCCAGCGTGTAAACTCCGTCGTCCCTGTTCATGGTCCCACATCCACGTCTCCTTATCTCGATTGCTTCCTTGATCCATCTTTTGTATTTTTGTTGTTCGGTGGTTATGATCCGTGTGTTGTCCCAGTCCATTATATGGTTTTCTCTTAAGCAATGATCTGTTACGGCTGACTTTTTTATTGTAGTTTCTGCTTCTTCTTTTGCTGCTCTTGTGTGTTTACGATTTGCCTCTTTCTCGCACTCCTTTCTGTGTTCTATTGTCCGTGTATTGAGTTGGCGTCCGGTTTCTCCTATGTATGTTTTATTGCATATTTTGCATGGGATTTCGTAGATGACTCCACATTATTGTCCAGCTGATATTTTGTCTTTTGGGTGCACTAGTCTGTTTCTAACTGTTGTGCATGGCTTTGTTGGTGTGTTTCTGTTGTGTTTTTTCATTGTTGCTCTTATTTTTTCCGTTATGTCTCTGATGTATGGTAGGGTTATCACTGGTTTTGGTTCTTGTCTTTCTGGGTTTCTGGTTCTTTTTTTGGGTTGTTCTTTGCTTTCTGTTTTTGTTTGTTGTTTTCCTTTGTTTATTGCCCATGTTGGGTATGCGCAGGTCTTTAAAGCGTGTTGTATGTGTTTGTCCTCTTGTTCACGGTCTCTCTCTTCTGTTACCATGTTTGCTCGGTGATATAATGTTCTGATTACTGACATTTTGTGTATGGTGGGGTGTTCTGATGTCCATAATAAATATTGGTCTGTGTGTGTTGGTTTCCTGTAGGAAACCCGACATGGGCAATAAACAAAGGAAAACAACAAACAAAAACAGAAAGCAAAGAACAACCCAAAAAAAGAACCAGAAACCCAGAAAGACAAGAACCAAAACCAGTGATAACCCTACCATACATCAGAGGAATAACGGAAAAAATAAGAGCAACAATGAAAAAACACAACATAAACACACCAACAAAGCCATGCACAACAGTTAGAAACAGACTAGTACACCCAAAAGACAAAATATCAGCTGGACAAAAATGTGGAGTCATCTACGAAATCCCATGCAAAATATGCAATAAAACATACATAGGAGAAACCGGACGCCAACTCAATACACGGACAATAGAACACAGAAAGGAGTGCGAGAAAGAGGCAAATCGTAAACACACAAGAGCAGCAAAAGAAGAAGCAGAAACTACAATAAAAAAGTCAGCCGTAACAGATCATTGCTTAAGAGAAAACCATATAATGGACTGGGACAGCACACGGATTATAACCACCGAACAACAAAAATACAAAAGATGGATCAAGGAAGCAATCGAGATAAGGAGACGTGGATGTGGGACCATGAACAGGGACGACGGAGTTTACACGCTGGACCACGCATGGGACTGCATCGTCGGAGAGGGGAGAGCGGGCAGTAGAGGGCGACAACGTCCTCTGCTGCCCGCAGATAAACGGAGAAGGAAGTGACGCGCCACCATCAGCGTCAGCCTGATGAAGCCGGCAGCCGTCGGCGAAACTGTAGCTACAAACAGGTCAACAAAACTGTTTCTGTGTTTAAAAAAAGAACGAAAGCATGGATTTAGAAAGACACAGCAAGAACACACCTAAGATGTTCAAAAACAGACACACCGGCCCATAAAAGATGAAAGGGTCGGCCCAGCGGGCAGTTGCCCGCTATGCCCTATGGTCAGTCCAGCGTTGGGTACAATACAAAGTGTTTATAATGCTAATATGATTACTCTAGTTTATGCTTCTTCTCTAGGCTATGTCTGTCTCTGAGTCCTGGTTCGTGATTAGAGACCATGGCACCAACTACTGCAACCTTTACAACTTGATGGAAGGTAAGACATGGTACCGTTTTAGTCATTTAAACCATGAATGCATTCGCTGATTTGACATGAAGCTTAACCTTCAAACACAAAGTAAGTGTTCTGTCCAAATCTATGATGGAGGTGATGTTGATGTGTGCCAGGATGCTTGGAGCATAGATATGTGTAAACATTCACACATCATAAACTGTGGACATTAGCATTAGAGGTTTGTTGGCTCCGGTTGCAATGCATTGTGGTCTATTCTGACAGTAGTCAAATCTTTTTTTACCATTTCCGATGAGATTCAGGAACATAATTGTCACGTTGAGAGGAGGAGGACGAGGAGGATAGGACCCAAGATTCAGAACACCAGATGACACGAGGCAGGAACGAATGTAAAAAGTAAAGTCCTTTATTTACGATGATGAACCAAAATCCAAAGGGGCAGGAAGCCAAGCCTAGTAACTAAAACACTGAACTACAAAGCAAAGCTCACTTTATGAGCAGAGACCTAGTGGGGGGACAAAACAACGTTGAGGAACACAATGGACCGACAAACACTGAGAGACACAGACAGGGTTTTATACACAGAGGGAAGCAATTAGGGAAACTGGTAGCAGGTGTGTGGGGCGTGTAAGCTGAAGGGATCAGGAGAGACTAATTAAATAAGGCCTAGTCCACACGTAGCCGTTTTTTTTTTTAAAACGAATATCCACCCCTCCAAAAACTTGCATCCACACCACCTTGTTTAAAAACAAAACTCTGTCCACACGTACCCGGATAAATACGTTGTTAAGGACATGCCAGACCTGTAGGCGGCAGTACTTCCCCCGTTCTTAACCTCGTCCTTCGTCTGTGGTCTTCCACAAGGAGCAGTAATTCCGCTTGCAAAAACAAACAAGCAGAAAGCGCTTGGACAAGTGATAAAGCGAGCGCAGCTCTGAGGGCATCCATGATGCCGGCTAGTGTAAACACAGGTCGCACACGTGATGTCAGCATTTTTTGTCGCGGAAAGTGACGTTGCGGACCTTAAAACTCCGGTTTTGTCTGTCCACACGCAGACACCCAAAACGGAGAAAACGCAGATCTTCACTTTGGCCGGAGTTTTTAAAAAGATCCGTTTTCATGTGAAAAAACTCCGTTTTCGTGTGGATGACAGGCCAAAACGTAGAAAAATATCTACGTTTTGGCAGATCCCCGTCTACGTGTGGACAGGGCCTAAATGGGGAAGGAACACATTGTATTAAAAGAAGGAACTGACTGGATAATCTAACTATACAGAGAACTAAAGATAAGAGAATTAATAAACCTGAAACTATACACCAGAACACTAAATCTATGGGGATACTAAACTAAATGGGATGGGATAACTAAGTATAAAGTGACTAGGGGGAAACTTGAGGGAAACCAGGAGGGAGCTGGGGACTACAAGGACACAGAACATGACACCATGCTGTAGTTCTTTTTAAAACACAGAACAGTTTTGTTACCTGTTTTCCCGCTACGTTTCGTTTGGCAAATGAAACGTAGCGGGAAAACAGGTAACAAAACTGTTGTGTGTTTTAAAAAGAACTACAGCATGTAATTAGAAATACGACACAGCAAGAACACACCTAAGATGTTCAAACAGAACATGACAATAATAAATTACAAGCAGTTTATCACTATTGTGAAACAGTGAACCACAAAGTGAAGACAGACCTGAACAGGTCCAGGTTATTCTGATCTCTTTGGACAAGAGCAGTGGCGGCTGGTGAAAAATATTTTTGGTGGGGCTGTGCTATTTTTTTTTTAAACAAACTTGTGCTTTCTGAGCTTTGTGCACAACTTCACTATTTCCTGAATTAAGCACAGCTCTTTTATTTCCTGTCTTACATCATTGGACAAACTGATTAATCCAGGTGTGTCTGACTATTGGCACGCTGCCTTGCGGACCAAGGTTGAAAAATGCTGCATTAAATTGCACATAAAATAACATGACCATAAATGGTAAATAGGCAATGCAAGAGGCAAGTAACAAAAACATTTTGTTTAATTTCAACATTTGAGTGAACACGAAAATTTATGAGCAGGTCACTGTTACAGTAATGGTAGTAAACACTACTTAGACAAAATGCCAGAAATATACACTTTTAGGACTTATGGAAAGTGGAAACACTTTCATAGGAAATAATGTCATCAGTATCCTCTTACAAATGTCATATTTCCCACTTTTTGGGACAAATCAGAAATGTTTTATTGTCCCAAAAGCTGGGAAATGTGTTTGCTGCAGCAGAAGTGTAACAAGTAAAATGGAATCAGATTGATGTATGTACAAATTTACTTGAAATACACATTTACATGATTAAATATGTATAATAGGTATGTGTGTTGAAATTAGTTTTTACAGTTATTGCACATTAAACAATGTACATGTTATTAAACAAATGTCCCGGTTTGTGGGACAACCAAGGATTTCTGATTCTGATTGTCTTGTTTACAGAAATGTAATGTACAGCTTACCTCTGCACCCAGCTGCTGTTGTTCTCCCTGTCCAAACGTCCTCCGTTTCTTTGTTGGCTGCTGCACTGATGCGCTGCATTCCTCAGTCAGAGAATGAATGGAGTCCCCAATGAGACACAAGTTCCACATCCACCTTCTGTGGATCCCAGCCGTTTTGAATAACAAACACAGAAAGCAAAATAACGCATTAACGTGATTGCATCCAGCTAGCCACTGCTTCCTGGTGTACCAATTTTGGGAGAAGCGTCGTGTGTACAGTTTACCTCTCTCCTTGTCCTGCAGGCTTATCTTTACGTCGGGCTGATCTGGTCCAAGCTCTTTGACATTAAGTTTTTCTACCATAGTTCTCCTCTCGAACGGATACTGGAGAAGAGACCAAACTGAATTCAGTGGCTGCTGAGATCCGGTATCCATGTTGTAGGCGCACTGGCGTCCATGTCTACGTCTGCGTCATGACCGTCACGAGTCACGACCAAAAACGTGCTGGAGTCGAGACTCTCCGAGTTCTACCGAACACCAACGAAAGCCTTGGCGGTAGCTCTATCGCCCATCATGCTTCTGAAACGTTCTGAAACAACGTCGACGCTGATTGGATACATTCCCATTCCTACCCTTTGATATTCTTGTCAACAATTGGACAGCTGGTCTCGTCCTGTTTGGGCGATTGAAAAACAGCACACAGCCTCCACCGCTCGGCAGAGACAGGCAGAGACCAATATATATATATATATATATATATATATATATATATATATATATATATATGATTTATTTTTGTTACAAAACACACAATTAACTTAGAATATGTGATTATTGTTAATTTTATTTATTTATTTTTTTTTAATAGTGGGGAAACTGGGAGGGCGGCGCCCTATCGCCCTCTACTGGCCAGCCGCCACTGGAAAAGAGAGATCAGTTGCTTTAATTTAGTGTGCTGGTTGTTATTGATAAATGTTCTTTACATGGTTTTTGTCATCTCTCAAACAGGAAGTGGCCTAACTCAGGTCAGAGGTTATGAAGAGGTCACCAGTGAGTTCCTGTGTACTCAGCGCTCCACGGCTAACTGCTCTGTCTTCTGAATCTCCACAAACGGAACAAGAAGAATGGAATAGGATTTGTCTTTTCCTTCATAAACTAAAACACGTTCGATTACATGTTCAAAGTCAGACCTTCTCTTAGTTTTTCGGATGTGAATATGTGCAGTTTTGGGTTAAACATTTAGTCTTGAACAGTTGTTAAAGGCATGAACGATGAGGAAGTTATAAGTGACAATTTTAGCCAAACTTCTAATCAAACTATTCAGCAAATAACCCTAAATGCTGTTTTGCAAAATCTAAACGCTGACAAGAGACGTGGTTCAGAAAGGTCTTGCCTGGGAGGAAGGATCAATGTGAGCTGACATAAACGTTCATTCGCATTTAGATGAATGTGTTCGTCACTAATGAGGCTGAAGATGGACAGCCTGATTGATAAACTATTGCTTTTCCAGCACTTGTGAGAACTGCTTACACAGCAAAAACACAGGAGAAAGTGAACCGCTCCAGACACTCGAATCTGTTCAGACGATCATGAGGACCATGTTAATGATAACAATACCAGTAATTATGACACATTTGTTGAAACAGTAAAGGGTTAGTGTATTTGTTTTGTGTAGAGTGCCTCTGTCGTCCGTGAGGGGACTATTCAGGTGAGAAGCTTTGGGGCATGGTGTGAGAGTGTGCGAATGTCCCACGCTCAATGGAAGAACCAGGGGAAACCCTGGATGTGTACTCACCAAGCAAATACTTTTCAGATGGTCACATTCAATGCTTTTCCTCCCAGCCGTAAACATGTTCTCCTTTCCGTATCTTTTTTGCCCCACTTCGTTTAATATATCATGATTTAAAACATATAGAAACAGATAAAATGATGTTATGAGCTTAACAAAAATCCACTATTATGATTTGAAGTTAATCAAGCAGCAAAATTATGCTTCATTCTTGTGGAGAACCATTAATTGTATTCTTAATTAAAAAAAACTCCTAAAAAGCAGTTACCTAATGAATTAAAGACTGATGATTGCCTGGTCTCTGACCCACAACAAATAGTTAAAAAAGATAATGTTTTTTTTCCGATGTAGGTCCAACTTTAGCTTCTAAGATCCCATCGAGCAATGCTGGACCTTTAGATTATATGAAGCCCCAGTTTTCGACTGCTTTATCATTTTTGCCTGTTACTGAGGATGATATAAGGGACACCATTATTGAGTTAAAGGAATGTTCTCCAGGATGTGACAACATTGACCGTAAAATGTTAAAATTAATTCACCCCTATATAATTACACCTATAGCTCATTTGCAATCTTTCCTTGGATGATGAAGTTGTTCCCATAGAATTAAAAAGAGCAAGAATCACACCAGTCTATAAAGAAGATGAGCCTGCCATCTTCAATAATTATAGACCAATCTCTGTTTGACCAACTCTCTCTAAAGTTCTTGAAAAACCTACATACACTCACCTAAAGGATTAATAAGAACACCTGTTCAACTTCTCCTTAATGCAATTATCTAATCAACCAATCACATGCCAGTTGCCTCCATGCATTTAGGGGTGTGGTCCTGGTCAAGACACTCTCCTGAACTCCAAACTGAATATCAGAATGGGAAAGAAAGGTGATTTAAGCGATTTTGGGCGTGGTTGTTGGTGCCTGATGGGCCAGTCTGAGTATTTCACAATCTGCTCAGTTACTGGGATTTTCACCCACAACCATTTCTAGGGTTTACAAAGAATTATGTGAAAAGGGAAAAAACATCCAGTATGTGGCAGTCCTGTGGGCATAAATGCCTTGTTAATGCTAGAGGTCAGAGGAGAATGGGTCAGCTGATTCAAGCTGATAGAAGAGCAACTTTGACTGAAATAACCACTCGTTACAACTGAGGAATGCAGCAAAGCATTTGTGAAGCCCCAACACGCACAACCTTGAGGCGGATGGGCTACAACAGCAGAAGACCCCGCCGGGTACCACTCATCTCCACTACAAATAGGGAAAAGAGGCAACAATCTGCACCAGCTCACCAACATTGGACAGTTGAAGACTGGAAAAATGTTGCCTAGTCTGATGAGTCTTGATTTCTGTTGAGACATTCAAATGGTAGAGTTAGAATTTGGCGTAAACAGAATGAGAACATGGATCCATCATGCCTTGTACTGTGCAGGCTGCTGCTGGTGGTGTAATGGTGTGGGGGATGTTTTCTTGGCACACCTTAGGCCCCTTAGTGCCAATTGGGCATCATTTAAATGCCACGAGCTACCTGAGCATTGCGTCTGACCATGTTCATCCCTTCATGACCACATGTACCCATCCTCTGATGGCTACTTCCAGCAGAATAATGCACCATGTCATAAAACTCCAATTATTTCAAATTGGTTTCTTGAACATGACAATGAGTTCACTGTACTTCAATGGCCCCAGTCACCAGATCTCAACCTGATAGAGCATCTTTGGGATGTGGCGGAACGGGAGCTTCGTGCCCTGGATGTGCATCCCACACATCTCCATCAACTGCAAGATGCTGCCAATATGGGCCAACAATTCTAAAGGACGCTTTCAGCACCTTGTTGAATCAACGCCACGTAGAATTAGGGCAGTTCTGAAGGCGAAAGGGGGTCAAACACCGTATTAGTGTGGTGTTCCCAATAATCCTTTAGGTGACTGTATGAGAGATTAATTCAATATTTGGACAAAAATATCATTTGTGCACATCAGTATGGTTTTAGGAAAGAACACTTTACTTATACTTGTTCACTTTTGACTGAACTATATAAAGCTAATGTTAGAAAAGAAAACACAACGCATGGGGACCATGCTGTGGTGCAGCAGGCTCCTGGCTGGTGACCTTCAGAAATCTGATGTCTTGGACTGCCTCAGGGGCCTGTCCCAGGAAAATAAAATACACATCAATCCTAGACCCCATCGCTGTCTCAGGGATTCCTGAACTGATACAACATGGAACATTTTTCAAGGCTCAGTCTTGGTTTAATGGACAGCTAAGGCAGGAATATCGAATCCCTTCATTCACAAAAATAAAATTCAGCTATTCTGAGGTCATCCTTGGTGGGATGAGATCAATCAAGTGGAGCTCCATTAATCTCACAATGTCCACTTTTTCAGCTTGAACTGGTTCACCAGAGATCAGGAGCCTCTGAAAAACCTGAAGTGTAAAACACACACACACCTACACGCACGCGCGCGCGCACACACACACACACACACACACACACACACACACACACACACACATGCACACACACGCACACAGATTCTATACAGAATGTAGTGTTAGTTTATCTTCACACAGGACAGTCATATTGATTTTTGGCCACCCTGCTGCCTCTTCCCACTAATTTTATTTTTTTTTTGCTTTTAAATTATTTTTAATCCTAACTGACACAGTGGAAACGGTGTGAGGTTGAGAGGTTTTGGCTAGATAAATTTGGACTCACCTCAATGCATGGCTCTGGCTCTGGAACCAATTTCCTTGGGAGGGGTTGGACTTTCTGCCACTCTGGTGTTGCTCCTACTGAGAGGTGCCAAGCAGGGGTGGGCATACTAGTTGCCCCCCATCTTGGTGTCTGTACATTGGGGTTTTCCCCCGGACAGGTCCTGACTGTGGTTTGTGCCTATGCACCAAACTACAGTTCAGGCCACCCAACCTTTTTGGAGATCCTGGAGGAGGTGCTGGAGGGTGACCCTTCTGGTGACTCCATTGTTCTCCTGGGGGACTTCAATGTTCATGTGGGCAACAACAGTGAAACCTGGAAAGGTGTGGTTGGGAAGAATAGCCCTCCTGATCTGAATCTAAGTTGTGTTTTGTTATTGGACTTGTGTGCTCGTTATGGATTGTCTTTAATGAACCCCATGTTGAGACATAAAGACTCATGTAGTCTGTCAGACTGCCTCAGAGCAGCTGTGGTTATGTGGTAAATAACCATTACCACGGAAAGCTCTTTGGGTGTCTTGAAAAGTGCTATTAAGATCTAATCCATTATTATGATTAATATAACTTTAAAGTTAGAATATGGAACATTTTAATAAAAAGCTATATTTAAAAAAACCTCCATGGGGCATTCAGAGGTGCGCAGAATGGATGTAGCGTTTCTCCTTTAAAAGCTGTATTTAAAAAAGATATATTGTTGTCGGGCACAACACTGTGCTTATGTTTACATCTACCAGCCTCTAGAGGGGACCGCTGAGCTAAAAAGTCAACTCAGCAAGGCAAAGTCAGGACTGTGTAAAATGGCAGACTTGACAAGCCAAGCAGCCGATTCTGAGCCCAGAAAATGTTCTAACAGTAAACACTGTTGTGAAGTAAACGTAGTAGTAGAAATTAGTTCTTATTTATGATTTATCTCTGAACATGGCACTAGAACTTGTCGGCAGTGAACCAACATCCCAGTGGCTGGAAAATTAGTCATGTTGTTGCAATGCCACCTCTGAACACCAGAATTCGCCAAATTGTCCGTGTTCCGTAGTCAACCTTTAATGCAGGGGTCAGAATCAGAATCAGAAAAACTTTATTTATCCCCGAGGGGCAATTAAAACTAAATTAAAAGGGGTGGGGAACCCTGGTCCATCGAGGGCCACTATCCAGCATATATTAGTTTCAACCCTGCATCATCACCCTTGATTTCAATCAGCAGGTGATTAACTCATTCACTGCCATTGTCGACTAAAGTCGTCATTTTCGATCCAACCGTTCACTGCCAATGACGACATTTTTGTACTGTTTGAGCATCGGAAGAAGCCCCCGCGCTAAGAGAACAAACATCTCAGCCCTGAAGCCGATCTTCATCCGCATACGTCACAGATCACATGATCAGGAAGCAACACATCCATGTGTTAGGAGATCGTTTTGGGCCGTTCCTGTAAAAAAAGGGAGGCGCAAACCGGAAAAGCGTCTGCCGATCGAAATTCGACAATGGATTATGAAAGAACGGATAAAGTTTGAAACACGCGGACTCTTCCTGATGTAAGAGGTGAGTCTCCTCTTTGTTTTGGTTGTTTTGGCATCGACATCATGCAAAGCGCGCAACGTTCTGTGACTCTTAACAAACAGTAAAAATGGTGAGAAACGCTGGCAGCGAAGGCCGTTAGTGATCAGGAAGCGGCTGGCAGTGAATGAGTTAACAGCCTTTAGCAGAGCTTGATGAGCTGCAGATCAGGTGAATCTACCACTGTATCAGAAGTGTTGAAGCAAAGACATGCAGGATACCGGCCCTCGAGGACCAGGGTTCCCCACCCCTGCTTTAATGATATTTTGGTTCTACTGGCTCCCAGTCTCTAATACAGAATTGTTTTTAAGTTATAGAATTGTTAGCTTTCAAGGCTCCTTGTACCAGAAGTCAAATGCACCTTTCTATGCAATGGTCCAAATGAAAAAATAGCATTAATTGTACAAGTTGCTATACTTTTCTTCTTGAATACTTACACCTCCACAATAGATCAGTTTCGTCAAACAATGAAAATGACTACTTTAAGGAGCTCCTTAATTACAACAACACATTTTCTTTTGAGGAACCATAACTGGGAGACATTTGGGATGGATTTTCTAAAGACGGACAATGAATGAAAATTGAATTCCAACTATTAACAACACACATACCTGTTTGTGTTTTTGACAGTATCAGAGTTCTTTTGGACAAACTTTGATTTGATTTGTTGAGAGTGTAACGTGAGGAAGTATGGGTTTCTGTGCCAAAGGTCATATTTGCCCGGCTGGGTCAAAGCTGGGTCACGCAGCACCTTCACCCACAGATTACAACCTAAGCCGCCAGCAAGTCTGAAGGACTCCACAACATCCAACACCTGCATCTCCAGAAGAAGGACATCACACAGTCTAGTCATAATAAAACGGAGTCTTAAGCTTCCTTTATTTTATTAATGTTAAATAATCATTTGATCACTTTGCTCATCAAGGGCGTCAGTTTGTTTTCAGAATTGCTGGGGACACTAACCATACACTTGAGTGGGGTTTAAAAATTGATGGGGACAA